CAGTTAGGCACAAAAACTTGATAACATATTACTCTACATGCATATTATTAGTTTCTGAAATTGGCACACTGTGAACATGTCACCATTAAAACTAGTGTTGACTCTAGACTTCTTGATCACATGAAAACCTATTTGTAGGCACACTTATGTAATCATGCTTGGATAAATGTCCATCATCATAGGATCACTGCTGGAAGAATATTTGGTAGTCTTAGTATGAGGATCTTTCCTTTCCATTATGGCATGAGGGAGAAGCTCGCGATAGAGAAGAACGAAAAGAGATGAGTTTCAATCCAAAAAAGTAGCCCTAGCTCAAATACCATACTTTAGAAGTAATGTAGGGTGATAATAATGTGTAATTCATCCAAGAAATGGACCGTATATTTGCAAATACAAAAATCTAATATTAGAGCATCTAGAAGTAACGACCTCGAGTCCTCTAGAGTCAGGGTGTCACTAATAGTTCTAGAGCAAACTTATAATAGTTTGTCGATCCAGTGGGTTAGACACTTAGTGGAGGAGGATTCTACACACTGATTTAGCACAAATTCCAGGCATAACGAGAACGATGTGCTCCTAAGCGGGGCCTATTTTATGGAGGATAAACATTCTTCTACCTTTGATTATTCCAAAGAGCACCAATATCTTTACAAATACAGAAATGAATATGAGGATCTTACATGGCCATGCGAAAAACATGTGGATTGAGACATTGCTTCGATTGACGCAAAAATATCATATGTGAGGAGAAAATGAATTACAAGCTCACAAACACTCTTTATTACATATAAATAAGAACCAAGAGTTGGTACTCATTGAACATGATTCTTATTATTCAATCATAAAAATTGAGTAGAACGAGTCTTGATAAAGCTACCATAGCAAAGTGGAAACCTCTTAGACTGTCCCGACGGATCAACAGAAAAATGCAGGTGGGAGGCTCTTATGCCGTTGGTGTTAAAGTTGGGATGCTTGTGGATCAAATCTTTGTTTTGGGTTGAGGTAAAACCCCCTGAGACCGTGACTCTAGGAGACTTGGAGAACCATCTCATGGGCATGGGGTCATTGTGCTAGGTGCATAAAGTAGAGGGGATAACATGCACAATACCAAGCTCAACATTGAGCCCCCCCCCCCCCCCCCCCCCCCCCCGCAACTTGTTGGAGTTTGTCTTCACAAAGTATAAAATTCTGTGAGACATTAAATTTTCTAGTTTTTGGTTTAACACTCGCCGACATTTCTTCCCGTATGTGGATTACCCACAAAGACACACAATTAAAGGCAAATATTTCACATTAGGTCGTTATTATTACAATAATATAAACACCCAAAGACACGAAAAAGTGTTTCATAATAAGAGGTTAATCAAACAATACCTCATCATAAAAAGTCTTCCCTACCAAGATCATGCATGAAGTCCTATTAATAACATCACAACAGTCAATACGCAACTCCGTTGAACTAGAGTATGAGATTGCCTTGAAAAATGTTGTACGATCCATGTTTATATAATGCCATGCAGTGATAGTGCTCTTCTTGGCCATTTTGTTTTAGTTCACGAGCCTTGATTATATAATGTCATTTTTAGTGCTCTTTGCGACCATTTTATAGTAATCATATAAGAAGTTTCACAGATGGCATTGTGTTACTCAAAAATGCAATTAGGTGTTTTTTGAATGCATACTATTGGTTTCTGAAACTGGTGCCCTGCAAATGTGTCACCATTAAAACTAGCGTTGAAACCAGACTTCTTGCGAACATGAAGAGCGGTTTGTAGGCTTGAGCCTACTCTTCATAATTGTCAGCATTGACTTAAACCTAAGTAATCATGCTTCGAGGAATGTCTGTCATCATAAGATCATATGAAGAGATGTTTCATCATGGGTGCAACACCCCGACCCTGCAAGACCCGAGTTAGTTACGCATACACACCATCCAGACCTTTAGTACTGTCCTAAAAAACCACCACAACTCAATACTACTCCCGTGAAGCACGTTTAACTTGGACTTCTTAGGTGATGAACTCCTTTAAAAGGAGACGCATCTTGTTGGTATGAGTAGTACCATTAATCCGTTTAAATTAAATCTCAAGTATTACAATGGGGAGGAGAGGGGCATGCCCAGTGCTGGAGAAATACTTGGTAGTGTTACTAATGAGGATCTTCCCTTGCCATCATGGTGTGGGCCTCTGGGGGAGTAGCTCGCGAAAGTGAAGAATGAATAGATTTGAGTTTCATTTGAAAAAGTAACTCTAGCTCTAATACTATAATTGAGAAGTGGTGCATTTTTTGCTGGCATAAGCCTATGTCTTTTAGCTTTTGTACTGTTTAAAAAGTCTCTAAAAGTTTCTAGTTGTATGTTTGACATAACAATTTTTAAGAGGTTTTCAAAAATTAAAAGATCTTTTTTGAGATGCTACAGGGAGTAGCATCTGAGAAAAGTCTGTGAGTTTTCGTATTAATTAGTCTAACAACTTGTATACCAAACAGAACTAAATCAAACAGTCATCTTTTTACCAAACAACTACCACCTTTTCTTTTTAAGATCTTTTCAGTCACTAAAAACTAACTGGTACTAAAATGCTTACAGAAGTATCTTTTCAGTTAGTTGTGTCAAACATACTCGTAATGTGGGGTGATAATAATGTATAATTCACCCGAGAAGTGGACTATAGATTCACAACTACATAAACCTAATATTAAGGTTATGTTTGGCACGACTAGCTAAAAAGATATTTTTGTGAGTTTTTTAATAACTGTTAACTTTTAGCGATTGAAAAGATCTTAAAAAGAAAAGGTGGTAGTTGTTTGGTAAAAAGTCGTCTGTTTGATTTAGTTCTGTTTTGTATACAAGCTGTTAGGACAAATTAATACTAAAAACAATGGTCTTTTCTTAGATGCTACTTTCCGTAGCATCTCAAAAAAGATCTTTTATTTTTTGAAAAGCTCTTAAAATTTTTCATGTCAAACATACAACTAAAAGCTTTTAGAAACTTTTTGAAACAGTACGAAAGCTACAAGGTAGAGACTTATGTCTCCCAAACATGCACTAAATATTAACAAGAGTGGGTCACTCGTACCTAGGGATGGACCCAAGCAGTTCGGCTCGGCTCGCTAGTGTGCGGGCCCGGGCTTTTACTAGGTTGGGGAGGGTTGGGTGGGCCGGGCTCGGGCCCTATATTTGTTGAACCGGTCCGGGCGGTTCGGGCCGAGCCCGGGCTTTTTTGATTTTTTTCAATTTTTTTTTTGTTTTCTTGGTTAGGGCTGGGTGTTTTGGGGGGGTAGGGTGGGGGTTTGGGGGGGGGGGTCGGGGGTTAATTAGAAAGCAAAAAAAAAATAACCTTGACCTGGGCCCGACTCGGCCCGGTTAGGCCCGGACCCGGTATCAACCCGGTCCGGTTCCGGGCCCAACAATTTGAAAAAAAAAAAACCGCCCGGGCCTGGCCCGGAACCGGAACCGGACCAGCCCGGGTCCATCCCTACTCGTACCTGGTAAAGCTTTACAATCCAATATTAATGACATTGGATTGTCAGCACTATTACATGGCTTTCCATATGTTTTGCTGAGAAGTTTGTCTTACATCGAGTAAATATGAAATCATAATTTAAAATGTTAGATTTTATTTTATTCTTTTATCAGATCTTTTTTATTGAGACTTTAAAAATTAATATGTCACCGAACTACCAAAACCAAACCGGTCCAAATTCATGATATGAACTCCTTTAGAAAAATGAAAACATGCATGACCTAGAGTCCTAGACCATCCGTGAGACTAAGTGTGTCCAACATAGCCTAAGTGTGTGATCATGAGAAGGTGTTAGAAAATTTTACTTCAGATTGGATAAATTTGAAATAACAAACACATACCTGCACAGGTAGCTCGGTTGGTTCAGTGGTGGAAATTTGGAACAATGACCAAGTTTCGAAACCCGCATCGGTCGTGTAAAAGTTACAACTCTTGCGTGCTGGGCTGAACCTCTAGTGGGCACAAGTATAAGGTCTACCATCATTGGACCGACCGAGTCACCATGACTTATATCCTCTAAAAATCCTATCGGATCAGGGTGGGACTTATATCCTCTAAAAAATCCTATCGGATCAGGGTGTGGGAGCTCCTGAGATGAGAGATTCCACCTTTTAGAACAATTGAAATAACAAACACATTAGATCTTAAATGACTTACTTTATCTCATAGACCTACATCTATTTTTTTTTTTTTTTGTAATTCAATGAATTGAAAATGCCCTTCGAATTTGATCATGAGAATTGACTTTGGCAGGCTTTTTGTTGTATGCATGTTTATTCTCCGTATTATTTAAAACAAAGAAAAGATCTAATACAACAGCGGGCAACTATCAAACAACCCTAAACGTATGTGACTTGCCGTGAGGAGAATCCGAAACCCTTCAAAACCCAATTGGTCTGAGAATTTGAGTGTTAGGGAACTGGATTCTTAAGGGGGAAATGGTCTTTTGAAGATTCCAAAGAAGAAGCGTATCAATCTTACCAAAGATCATCATCATCATACGTTATTATTCTTGTGCTCCTCTTCTAAAAGGTATTCTCTTTCAAGAAAAGTTAATAGTGCAAGCATGTGCATCATCATCAGCAATTTTCTTTTTTGTTCTCTTTATCTTTGTTAGTGTCCTAAAGATGCCAGCTTTGTTACTGTCACGAAATCCTCCATTTAGCAGAGCACAAGGAAACTTGTTCTAAACATCATCTTTGTACATATGATTATCATAAGATTAATAACTCGATGCCCACTTTTTCTTGTCTCTTTTTTTTTTGAAGTACTGCAATGTGGAAGAGACTGAAATTGGGTGGAAAAAACAACATCAAGTTGGTTATTATTCTGACAAGATGAAATTCGAAATTAACAAGGTTTTCTCCTGAAGCTACTATTGCAGCAGCTGCTGCTATCTTCTTCTTCTTCTTCTGCATGATCATCTTCTGTTTGATGAAATGCTGAAACGACAGTTACCCCACTGGAGCCAGATGAGGAGGAAGCTGGAGCTACATTTAAATCCGCCCTTTCTCTTCTAGCTAAGAAATTGAAGAAAACTGGTTCGATTGTGTTAACTATATTAGCTGGTGCTACTCCCCTCATGTTCTGGATTTCATCTTCTCCCGTCTTCGCCCTTGCCCTCTTCTTCAAAAATATGCGGCAGATCACCCAGTTGTCCTGCACATAAATTAAGCCAAAGATGCCTGAACTAACCAAAATATAAATCATCCAAATCAGATCACACAATAGGTGATTTGCTAAGAAGTTTACACATGAAAATCCAAAAGAGCCAACTAAAACCGACCCAGAAATGCCACAACTGAAGGACTACTTTTTTCAACACCGACTAACCAACCAAAACCAAGCTCGTGAATGCCACTACAGCTCTATGGCTCTACTAATGATCATGTTTGTAAAAAATATGACCTAACCTTAGTTGAGCAGGCTTTGTCATTTTATGCTCAACTTGTTTAAATTTCCTTAAACCCTGCTAATTTAAGCTTTAGTCCAATGATCACTAGTATTTAATGATGAAGATGATATGATGTTCAAGTTATTCAGTCTCAAACTCAATCTTTTAGTATGATTTGACCAAAGTAGTTTATGATTCCATCAAATTCTACATTATTGAGTGATTTGCCCAATGTAGCTTATAAATGATTCAGTTGAGCGTTTAATGCAATACCGATTTCTAACAATTATACTATAAACTTCTCTTGACAAGGTGGAAGCAGAGGCTTGGACAGATGAAAGGTGAGATAGATGAGGTCGATTTGGGAAATGAAAAAAAAGGTTAGCAAGAGTGAACTCTCTTCACCTTATTGTTGATTGGGGAATTGGCGAGGCGATATTCATGCATGATCCAGTCGGTCCTAGAGCCACGGGGGGCTTTGCCTTGGTAAAAAACAAGGGTCTTCTTCATCCCAACAACATGTTGTCCTCCTCTACAACTCACTACCTGTTTGTCAATCCCAGTGGCCTTCCAATACCCAGAAACAGCTCCCCTGTTTGACCTGTTCCCGTTTAAATACTTTGCCTCCCTAGTACTAAAAAAATACCTCTCTTGCTCCCAATCACCTGCAAAATCAAACTCTATCTTCAACTTCCCATACATTATTAATCTCCTCCCTAATAATAACTCTAGTCTAGGGGCTATTTCAATTCACCTTATAAATACTCCTTTCCTTCCAAAATGTAAGGCCACTTTAATCTTTATATGAAAAGAAGCAAAACATAGTTCACTTTTAAAGATATTGTTTCAAGTGAATCTATTATGTCATACGGAGCATTATTTTTAAAATTGTAAAGTAAAAAGGCGAAGTAGAAAAACTAGAAAGCTGTTGATATTAGAAATGAAAAAAAGAATACTATTTTGGGAAATTAAAAAAGAAAAATATAGCAAACAAAATGAGGTGTGGTAGTAACTTATACTCCATACGTAGTAAGACATACTTTATCCCTCCCTGAAAGAAGACTTTTTTGTGTCAGCTTGAAAACGATTTTTATTTTCTTTGTAAAGAAAGAACTGCCAGATCATTTTTGCATCTAACCTGCTTAAATTCGAATCATACAGTTTTACTAATATTAACAAGCTTGTAATATCATATGTGAGCCTTCTAAAGGGAGGTCCGGGGGGGAGGGGTACTAAGAACATTGGAGTATAAGCGTAAACTTAAAGATATACTTATGAGAGAGAGAAAATGCTATGGTTTAAGGAACAAGATGTACATAAACTCATAAGCTTTTGGTGACAGAAAAGATATTAAAGATTTTAAAGAGAAGTGGCAGCCGTTTGGTAAAAAAACTGAAGGTTTAATTTAGTTCGGTTTGGTATACGTTAAGACTAATTAATACTAATCGGTAGAGACTTATGCCTTCCAATAGCCATAAGCAATCAATAAGGTAAGAAGTTCGCCGCCTCTTACATACATACACAACATAATAATGAGTTACATAAGAGGGGGGAAGCTTGATTTTTCTTCTTATTTTAACATCCAATTTTGTGCCATGGGCAAGTGATGTAAGAAAAGCTAACCTGGCAAATCCCAAGGATCAGATTTGCAGAGGTCGATGACAGGGATGACGGTGGCCGGCAAAGGGAAGGAGAGCACCTTACGCTTCAAGTACTGTACCACCAGCTCCTCATCGGTGGGGTGGAACCTGAAACCCGGCGGCAACCTCATCTGTCCATTCTTCACAAAGTTCACCTTCTCCATATCCTACCCCCAAAAGCCAAAATCTTTCCAAGCGGAACACTGATCAGACACCTGTCTAATCTAAATCAAGAAAATTCAAGAAAAGTGATGCCAAGCCGAAGGGAATAGAATTGGAAAGGTGGGTGTGGGTAAGGTGAGACGGGGAAAGTATGGCCACTTTTATTTATAGGTAGTGTTGTACTAGTACACGTACGATATTTTACTCAGCAATTTATTTATGTTAAATTAATTTTTATCGATGTAGTCTTAATTACTTAGTACTACATCCATCTCACTATGTATGGGACAAAGGATTATGACATAAATTTTAAGAAAAAATTGAATTGTGTGGTTGTTATTAATGATGTTTTTACTTGGATCGTAATTTGTCACAGATCAGACCAGACCAGATCAGACTTGGATAGTTATAAAAAACCAAAGAAACCAGACCAGCCCAGTTCAGACCAGACCAGATCAGACCAGACCAACAAATTATAGTCCAAGTAAAAACATTCTAAATTGATAAAGTTTGAATAAAGTAAAAATGAACTGTAACCACCCAAATATTACCAAATATTGTATGTGATAAATTTAATGGGATGGACGAAAAAGGTAAAACGGGATAAAATTAGGGGAACGGAAGGAGTATTATATTTCCTCCCTTCTAGAGAGAACTTTACGTGTGTTTTTGGCACAGTATGTTAGTAATTCAATTAACAGAAAAACAAATGTCTTGTATGTCCTTTGACTTTTGGGGGAATTAATGTTATCCACTCAAATGTAAAAAACGGATGAGAAGTGAAAGGTCGTTAGGACATTTAATGTAAAAGGAGTTGCCTAAAAAGAAAACATAAAGGAGTAAATGGGACGTCCCAAAAAAAGAAAGTAAAGATTTAAATGGGACAGGGGGAGTAGCAAATATTGTACAAAATAGGTTATGGGATTTTATTTCGATTGATTTCAGTTGCAGGCAAGATTTAAATAAATAGGATAAAATCAAACTTATAAGGACTAGATTATATCTTATCCGACTCTAATAATTGTGAAATACACATACACCAGACATGTATCAGACCATATCAGACTTAAACAGATCATACCAGATCAGATCAGAAAGTTTCAATCCATGTAAAAATATCCTAAATATTACTCTCTTTGTTCCAAATTGTTAGTTCTATACTTTTTGGTTTCAAATAATAAGAAAGTGAGATAAAATGATTCATACTCCCTCCGGTTCCAAATGAAATTCACACTTTTCTATTTGGGTAGATTCAAAATAAATTTCGCACTTCTTCTCTCTTCCTTATTTGGCAAATTATCTACATCAAAACATTGTCAAACAGTATCAAATAATGTCACAACAGTGTACTCTACAGTATATTCAAATTTATTTCCTTAATTTGTATGAAGTTAAAGTGTGAATTTCATTTGAGATTGGAGGGAGTATAACTTTACTTTGTTCATTCTTTTTTAGTTTTAGTGTTCATAACAAGGAGGGACATAAATGGTAATTTATTTTACTTTCCTTATTAAAAGAAAAACAAGACTACCAACGATCCAAATAAAAAATACAAGACCATCTCGCCGGAGGGTGACAGTACATTATTTTTTAAAATGAGACTCAGTCCTATAATCTCTTTTTGATTTATATTGATTAAAATGAGACTCGGTCCTATAGTCTCGAGACCACAGTACATCAAATACATATAACTAATTGATTTATATTGATTAAATTAGACTGTGTCTAATTCTAGTGAGAATGATACTTCTAGGCATGTGTGAACGTCGTTAATAAATTCATTTTGGTACAATAATTATATTGTTGATTTAGGTGCACATTCGTGTTTGGCTTTGGGTACATTTTCTGGGATATAGTTTTCTAAATTATTTGCGAAATGACAACACAATTTCTGAATTAACTATATACGGAGTATATTTTATTTCAGACAAACCTAATTATTAAACTTAACAGATCATATTCATCATCTTTCTTCTCATTAGAATATTGGATCATATCCTCATTTGTATATATAGTGTGTGTGGATTTAGATACACATAAATCTCGTATCGTTAAATTATTTTAAAATATATTCATACTTTTCGAGGTAAAAGAGTCCTTTAGTTTGTAGAGTAACTAAAAACTCTAGAAATAAAATCTAACATATTTGTAAAAGAGTCCTTTAGTTTGTAGAGTAATCTTATCCGACTATAAGTAAATTTATGTTACTTATAAAGGACTATAAAGTAAAAGAGTCCTTTAATTTGTAGAGTAACTAAAAACTAAAGGACTCTTTTACTTTCTACCTCATATATCGAATGGAACCATTTTTTTTGAAAGTGAATGGAAACATATTTGTAAAATCTAACATGTTATCAAAGTTACACAATAAAATTAAAAAGGGTTATTAGCTTATTTTACTCCAAACTATCATCAAATTTACAAATCTATTTTATTCTTTCAGTTTTATAAAAAAAAGACTCAAACTTCATTTTTTCATTAATTATATTTTTCTTTGTTGTCATTTTCAAAATTACACATTTTTATCAATAGAAATAAGATATCAATACTCAAAACTTCATCTTTTTCAACTATATGTTTTTCGAGAAGATATAAAAACAGAAGAGATAATGAATAATGTAAAAGATAGTATATTGCACTTAAAAGTATCAAAGAAAAGATTAAAAATTTGAAAAAGTATAAGATATACTATCTACGTCCCATTTTATGTGTCTTATTTTGATTTCACGCAAGTATTAATAAAGTCGTTGAAAAAGTAAAATTGTGATTGAGATATACTACATATTAGTATAATTAATAAAATGAAATGTTGGGAACCACATATTTATTTTCGAGAAGGGAAATAGACATGTATTTTGAGATAATCTAACAATGAAGGGAAATTGTCGTAAATGGGACTAGAAACATTTGTGTATTTCAAAGTAGAACAAAAACTACCATGTTTTGATCGTATTAGGCTTTAAACTTGGAAGTATTTTTCAAGTTTGACAATAACTACTTTTATTTAGAAATAGAAATATGACAGTTTTACTTTAGAATTTTCAAACATGAGAATTTTCCCAAAATGATAGTAAGACAAGAATGATACCTAGTCCATATAACATAAAATAAAAAGGGAGAATTCCCCAAATAGGACTAAATGAAACTCTAATTGCCAAAATAGGACCATACCTTAAAAATTCCCTAAATAGGACTAAATTTCCAATCATACCCTTGCTTTGTTCTAATACAATTCATATTTCATTAATAATTATAATATAAAAGTAATAACATAACTTTATTTATAATAAAAATGAAAAAAACACAAAAACACGAAATAAAATTATTTAAGCTTAATAAAAAAAATCAAAAACTAAAAAATTATAAAATAAAAAACTTCAAAAATAAAATAGAATAAAATAAAAGTGTAAAAGATAAAAATAAAAATATGCAGGCCTATTCTCCCGCCTCAGCAACCTCCCGGCATCACCAGCTCTGCTCACCGGAAAAATGCCAACATTTGTCAGAAATGCAATCTTGACGGCAGTTTTTTAGAAAAAAATTGGCATTTTCAAGAGTAAAAATGTCATCTTCATGGCCTTTTCAATGCAAAAATGTCAGTTTTTACACAAAATAACTTTTTTTATCCGATCAGAGGTAACGTTACTGGGTAGTAGTTGAGACCGTGGGAAAGGTTTTTAATATTTTTAAGGGGTTTTATCTATTTTTTGTTTATTTTTAAAGTTTTTAATTTTTTTTTTTACTTTTTTAAAGTTTTATGATTTTAGTATTTTTAGAAAATATTTTAGAATTTTTTATATTTTTTTTACACCTTTTTGTGTAAGTTATATTTTTTTTTTTCTATTTATTACGAATTCAAATATGATTATCCCATTAAGTTATGGTAAAAGTAGAATAGGAAGATAAGGTACACTTTAGTCATATTTAGGAAAAAAAAGACACCCCATCCCTGAGGGTCCCCCAACCCCAACCATACGGTACGTTGGGAGAATGTAAATTAGACTATAATCTCAATCTGACAGATAGAGAGTGAGGCTCTGTCCTCGGTACTTGCAGAGGCCCTATGCATTTTTAGCATAGTAACCCCTCATCGCAGTTGCCGGGATTCGAACCTGACACCTAACCCTTGTGGCACTCCCTTGCTATCAGTTGAGCTATGCCCACCGGTTTAGTCGTATTTAGGGAATATAAATAACGTAGTCCTATTTATGCATTTAGAGATTAATTTAGTCCTATTTAGGGCTATTAGAAAAGGTCATAGAATTCAAATACTTGCCAAAAGAAGAAATTCCACTTATGGTCCTTCGAGTTTTGCACCAATTCCACAATTAGTCCTCGTCTTTCATTTTATCCATTTTTGGTACCTGAATATTGTTTTCTTGACCATTTATAGTCCTTTTCCGATAGTAAAAATGCTCAGAAATGGACCACAAATGGTCAAAAAAACAATAGTCGGGTACCAAAAATGGATAAAGTGAAAGATGATGACTAAATATGGAAATGACACAAAACTCGGAGGACCTAAAGTGGAATTAATTCCTTGCCAAAAAGCACCGCTTATAAAATAGGGAGGGAGAAATTACTTCTAGCCGAGTACCTAGTAAGTGCAGTAGAGGCAAAATTTTCAAATCCTAAATAATTAATTACATCATATCGATCCAGGAAAAAGAAGAAAAAAAGAGAGGAGATTTGAACGAGGAAATAATAGAATAAGGACAGGGGCGGCATTTGTTTAGCGTAAAAGAGACTCAATCTCTTTTCCTTTGACGCATTTTTCTTTAACTAAAGTATAAGCCCAAGCCGCAGCTGCAAACAAGGGTTTAACTTTCCTTCTTTTATTTTGCCTTTTACAAACGCATTCTTACACGACAACAAAAATACCTAAAACGATGCTTGTTAATTTAATTAGCTTAGGTGTAAGGTGGGTTGTTGTTAATCAGTGTCGTTTATCCCCCTTCATGTGTAAGGGAATCAAATACGGAGTTCAAATTTGGTGGGTGGCCCAAGTTCTACTTTCACATACATAGAAAAAGTTTCTCCTATTAATTTAGCTTGTGTGCATGTAATGTACACACTCCACACGCATCACTTGGTGGGGTTAATATGTTTGTTGCGAGTGTAACTTTTCTATTGCTTCTACCAACACATCTTTATGTATCT